TACGTTCAGCCTGAAGACATGGTCGAACAAGAAGACTCCTTCTAAATATAAGCTATTCTTTTGAGCCCAGTTGCTCAAAGGACAGAGAACGTTATACAACGGATAAATCACTATCCAGTGGAGAAGTGTATAAAAACTGTACTGTGCTATCCACCGGTTAGGGATTTATCCAATAAGAAAGCGTTATCCACCCTTTGAACAACCGAAACCTGCATTGCTTACTTGCCTCCTTATCAAGCAGCAAATAAAAATGTATTTTAAGGAACATCTTGGCAGTTACGAGGTTCGAGCGTTTTCATTGCAACCTCTGGTAAGAATAAACATTCTCATCTACCTTCTAGGCAATTTAGCCGCCTGAAACTTGCGTAACTTTTTTGTTAACCAACACCTTTACAGTATGCAGTCTCTTCAAGACTGCAGGCCTTCCTTTGGATAGATCGCTTTCAACTATATGTAGAGAGAATGTTTTTAAGAATATGTAAACCAAAACGGAATAGATCTTTGTGCTGTGCCTTAATTTAAGAACCGTTCATTGTTGAAAAGGTATTTTCAGAAAGCGAAAAAAATTGAATGAGGTAAGTTGTTATGAACCAAACTGGTCATCATTTCTCTTTTTCAAACCTGCCTTTTCATTCGCATTTTTGTGTTCATTAGCTTCGGTCGTTTTAAAATATCGAGAAAAATTAAATGAGTACACTTCATCTCTTGACTCTCGAGTGTAACTAAAAACTGAAATAAGTCCACGAGGAGACAACGTTTCAAGCACTTTCAAACAATCCCAAAGATGGAAAGATCACACTGATCAGCCTTGAACAGGTAAGGTCAGTAGCTGTTATTCGAAATGCTTGTCCCGAATTCTTCCTATCGTGTCTATTGTGATCAGAAGTTATCTGCTGAGAGTGTGATTAAAACAATTCTATTTTGGCGGTAGAAGGCCAAATCTTAGACCTTTGACGGTTCAAGTTTCGCAATAACAAAGAGAAACGAAGAGACTTTGCCTTTGTTCTTCATTAAAGTCTACAAGTTGGCGCATATTCGAAGAAACCAAATTTATAAATTAAGATAAAAAATTTAGCGCTTAAATTGTACTCCCTAGAGCGCTCGTATACTTAAAAAAATAGTCTCCGTTATCCTTTTAATAACTAGACACTCATCTCGCTCTGGTGAAATTTCCAGCAAACTCTGGGATTGATCTACATTTTAGTGCACGTGTCACGCAATTAGATTACGCTGCCTACAGGGAGACAATCCTGTGGGTTTGAGGTCGCGTGACGTCAGTTACGCGACCTGCATAGTGTGTCAGTCGAAAGACGGTACAAACCAGCCCTGGCGTAGGGAGGGTCGGGTGAAATCCGAGCTTGGTTAGTGATCAATTTGAATTTAATACTGTTAATCGAAGGCTTATGATTGACCGGCTTCAGTTCACGTTATGTGTCGACAGCAGATGATGAGCGAATGTCGGAAATCGAGCAGGCTTTTGAGGTGGTTAGAGGCGAGCAATTGTACTGATTTTTGGCTTGGCTCTTACAAGTTTATTGAATTTTAACGTGCCCGAAGCTGGGAGGTGAACGACATTTAGAAGTGGAAGAAATTCGACGAAGTTCTAAAGGCTTTCGGCCCGACGGTCCTGGAAGTTGCACGCCTTGTTTTTCCTTTGCCTTTGGAGGACCACAAGTGCAAAGTGGGGAATTAACCGTCCCAAAAATCTACAAAATCACTCGAGACAACACAGAAAAAGAAAGGTAAGTGAAGTTTATTTATCTGACTATCATTAAGCGGATTTTGGGAATGAACTGTTTCGATTTGCGGAATTTATGAAACATTTCTCGGGATCACTTGCGTGTTACCGAGATCGACCGTAGAAAATAGCCCTTTTAACAGTACTAGCAACTAAATACAGGAATGGCTCCGACCTGTACTTAGATTATAAAAATAGTAAAAGTTAATAAGTTATATCTTAACTCCATGCTCGTGAGTATTGTTTACCCGTGTGTCTCGAAGCCGAACAATGAAAGAGCAATGCGAGTGAAAACACCGATGTATATATAACATAACAAAGGGAAGGTCGAGCCTTTCTTGTCCAATGAGGTAGTTCAGCGATACTCCGGCGATGACAGAGTTATTCGCCGACTAGCTCCGCTGACTAAACTCATTTTGCCAGTTCAGGCGGACGAACAGTGACTGGAGCCATTCCTGTATTTCACCGCTGACAGGAATAGCTCCGACTCATGCACTTGTTGGATCCTACATGCAACTGCTATGGAAAAGTACACCCTTTGCTCCTAGATTTGCTTTAGCTGCCGTATTGGTTGTAGCTGTGTCAGCTATGATTTAATGCATTGAAAGATTCTTGTTGTCCACAAACAAGGTAGCAGACTTAAGGAATACAAAAAACGATCAAATGAGCAGAAGACATGTTAGGCCTGCATTACAGTTCTTCACCAGTGGAGGGTTGCACCAGAATATTACGACTCTACGGAAAGGCAGACGAAAGATTACTGTGCAGTCTGAGGGCAGTTATCCCTTTGCTATATAGGAAATGAAATCTGTAGTTGGCTGAATACTTATGAATTCAAATAACTTTTGGAAAAGAAACTTCAGGTGACACTTCAGAGTGTACTCATAGTCTGTACTCTTTTGTAGTCTGTGACTGCTTTATACAGGTTCCACAGACTAGGGATATTAGATATAACCAATAAAAACATCATTTAATGTCCTAATTGAACACTAAATGTACATAAAATCACTCAAGAATACTACCAACGTTGATTTTGCAAGATAAATATGGATTAAATTTTACTTGAAAGATTACTCTTGGTATTATTTGTGTGGCCCTGCTTTAACCCTTTAACTCCCGTGAGTGACCAAGACAGAATTTCTCCTCACTACATCTATACAATATCATGCAGACAAGTAACAAGAACAAAGAAAAATATCAATTATGGGATTACTAATTGATCCAATACCAAATTCTCCATGCTCACATAATGAGAACCATTTGGCACACAGAAAAGAGAATTACTAATGAGATCTTGGGAGTTGAAGGATTAAGTGACCAATCAAGAAAGGTGGGGGAATATACGAAAAGGTCATGGGGACTCTGTAAAGGGTGACCACACCCACTTCACCCTCTACACCCTAACATCAGTGTGCACATTCTCCATACTGTTACCTATACATTTCCTAAGGTGCTGATGAGGAAAATTTGTTCAACAGTCAAGAGCTTCTTTAGTTGGTGATCATTTCCTTTATTCTCATGATCTTAAATGAATGATTTAGGAGTATTATTGTCAGGAGAAACTAGATGCTTAAATTATGTTTTCGTCCAACAATTACCAGTGTTGTCTTTACTCATCTGAATTGATTGTCAAAAACTAAAGCTACAGGGCTAGATAATACCTCTCACTCTTAGGGTTTAAAGGGTTAATAAACACAAAAATTACAGTTGTTAAGGGGAACAGATTTTGGGACTTTGAAAACCGGACTTAGTACAGGGTGACCACTTAATATGGTGCCACTTACTACAGGTTCAACTGTTATAAATACCTCTTGTCATACAGAGATAGTGTAGTCAGTAATAGTCAGCAGTAACTTGATTAATTCTTGATTAATTGATAGATGACAACATAGGAGAAAAGTTGATAGAAATTAATAGCTACATTTACTATTTTCCTTAAAAAATACTTAATTGCACATGGTACAAACCTTATTATTCCCAATGTGAGATACAAAATGCACAATAATATATACACAATACAAATGCAAAAAGCAATACTCCTTTCACGTGCTATGATTAAAATATAAAAAGTCAACCATAACTTTACAGTATTTCCTAAACAGGAAGACAAACAACTAGTATTTTTTAAATACTGCAGACTGATGTGCAAAAGCAGCGAGTGAATCTAGTAAATAGTGCCATTGATACTACTTGTACTATTCATAATTTTTGTTTGGTTTGTTTTTGTTTTGTTTTGTTTTTTTTTTAATTTAATTTGATTGTTCGGTAATTAACCTTATCCCCTTTTTTATTTTTATTTTATTCATTTTATATATTTTTTGGCATTTTCTTTTTTGTGATGCAATTTGTTATGTCTACTACTCTATTTACAGGCAGTTGTAGCCTACTTTTTCCCCTGTTTGTTTTTTGGAAGTTAATTCCCATTACTTTTATCATTGGAACCTCATACACAAAATTGTTTTGACATTCTTATGGTATTTGTCCCCATTGATAAGTATTTCCCAGGTTTTTTACGTGGATTCCATTCTATTGCAAAATATGTATTAAACAGATTCTTACTCAATGTTTTGTTGTGGCCATGGCCAATTGCAGATGTATTTTGCGATATCATTTCTTCCACAATTTTTGAGGGCTTGAACAAATTCCCTCATTGTAGGCTCCTTTGCTAAGGTTTTTAAATGTTCAAGTAGACATTCGGTATGACTTCTTCTTTCAGCTTTCATCAAGTTTAACATATCAGACTTAACCTTCAGCTCTCTTCCAACACTGAACCATGTTTTGCAAGTATTGGTCTCAAAGGCATCAAGTTTCATTTGAACGTAGTGGAACAAGTTGCCATTCTCATCACATAAGTTTTCCATACTAGAGACAAGAATGTCTATGTGACAGAAAGAAAAGGAAGGTAACAAATATTTTAAATTATCCAAGACACATTTACTACACAATTTTGAGGTGTGCACATTTCACAATAACAAGTTTCCAGATTTTGGGACTTCTATGTTGAATCATTAAAATTAAGCAGTTTTTATTAATTACAGGTGCCAGGATATTAATTGTGTTAATGTGTTGATATATGTATAAATGGTTGCAGTCAAAGTCCTCTTCCATTTGAGTTGCATGGGTTTTTATCATGTTATCATTGCAATACATGTATGTACTGCTTTCATCACCTTATATTAAAATTTACAACGCTGGAGAGAGGTTTTTGCTATTGTGACTTATATAATTATTATCACCTGCAGGAATATTTTCTACATTCAAGTAATCCTTCCATTGAGCATCACTGGCATGAGAAGATCCCTCATTTCTTGATATGTTGTTACCTAAAAAGATAATTGTAAACGCACAATAATATTTACCCATTATTTTAAGAAAATCATTTAGTATAAGCAAAAAATGAAATGCATTTATGACTTGCAGTTATGACTTGCCAATCAGACTATTTTTTTAACTATTTTTTGTCTCAAAATAATAGGTTTAAAATAATTAAAAAATAACTTTAAAATAGTGTGGAAAAATAGAGAAAAAATACACAAAAAAAGTTGGGAAAAATAGTTTTAAAAAAAGAGCTAAAATAGCTTGTAAGGGTATGTCAAGTTTAATTTATACGACTACGAGTGATATGTAACTGACACATTTTAATAAGAACAAGTGAAATTTCTCTTAATTAATCATTGATTTCCTTGAAGATGCAACATTGAAAATATAAAAAAACTAGTTTTTAAAGTGCTTAAAATATCATAGTCTGTACAAGTTATATTGATTAAAGATTAATAGTGGCATTAACTCACTTTGAAAAACTTTAGAGTATGGAGGAGCTACAGGGGTAGTGCACCTTGAATATGGACACTGTATCATTGAACACACTGAGCAACTTTCAATTGAATCTCTGAACAATCAAGCATTACATTCCACTTTGTTTTATTTCATTGTGATTGCCACTATCCGAACCAATCGTTGTTTTTACTTTGAGCTCTCACTTGCTGTCAATCAATCACTCAATCAATCAATAGACTTTATCTTAGAGGGGAACATGTGATAATAGAGAAATGATGACCCTGTGGCACCAAAGTTCATTGTTGTGATTATTTTGGTTTTGATTTAATGAACCTCAACCTATCCATGTGCTTCTTCTTATTTTATTATTTTTTTTAATAACATGTACATTTTAAATATTATACTAGTACAGTTCATCACTAACCTTCAGGTATGACATTAAGCTCTTCCTGGTGGGAATTAGAGCCTGTACGCAAAGGTTCCCTCTCTATAGCAAAAAAAATTTCATGGAGAATGAGAAAAAAGAACAGCAAAAGAAAAACTTAATGAATGTACGTCTACTTAATTGACCACTCCCACAATGGAGCTTCCTAGAGCCATTACAAATGAATAATTAAATGAATGAATGAATATTTAACATACAGTCATGTACTGTAGTATTGAAAAATTGCAATTAGCAAGAGGTAGGTAAGTGCAGGTAAGGAGTTGAACTTGAACACTGAAATGAGTCCAATGCCCCAACAACTGACCACACCACCTCTATAATAACAAGTAATAGTAAAAGGACTGACTAAGTCCAGTTCAGTCTGTAATCATACGTTGAGTTATGAAAAAATCGGACCAAATGCAGCAGGAGTCTGATTTGTTTATCACAAGTATGATTACAGAAAGAATTAGACAACATGAAATCTTATCACCAATGAATCATAGAAGTCACAATTTCCGAGAAAGAAGAAAAGCCAAGTTAAAAAAGAAAGGGAAAATTTGCATTAAAAGACTGAAAAAGGAGGTTTAAATTGTTTAATTGTTTGTTGGTTGATTTAAACTACAACTTTGAATGTGTGGCTTATTGAACTGTCCAATAACAAACTGTCCTATAACAACTTGGCAAGTGAATTAGTGGAAAATAAGAGTTTTTTAAGCCAATAACAATCAAGGAAATTGTAATTTTTACGATTATTGAAGTAATTGATTGCACTAAGAAAATAAGAAAGTAACTCTAACAAAGTCAGTATGAAAAGTGAAGGATGACAGATCATTATATGGTTATACACAATGTAAGTAACCACATTTGTTACCATTTTATTATAAATTTACCTGCTAAAAAGCTACATGTAGGTAAACATGTAACACTCCTCACACTAGAGCACCCAAGACTCTCTAGCGGAAAAGAATTCTCACTGTGCAATGACTGCTTCCTTCTCTTCCAAGCTAGCCAGCCCCAGAATAAAATAACTGATATACTCAATCCCAGAAGACATAACAGTGTAATATGTAATCTGTCAAAGGAATGACCAGAACACTGCTTTGAAGAAGAAGACAAATTTTGATTCGTCTGTTCCTTTTCTATTAGACTTGTCTTGTTGGGTGATGAGCAATTCATTTGTGTGTTACTGCCTTTCAGTAAAGAGCTATCTGATGGCATTGTATTATTGCAGTCACAACCACTTGATGTAAGATTTTTCTTTGGCAGGTCATTACATGGTTTTGGTGACCTCCTGCAATGTTTCTGGCCTTTTCCTCCGATCACTGTACCAGGCATTAATTTTATACACTGTGACTCAATGTTCATGTTGTCATCCTCACAACACTCGGTACATCTATGACATTCTTTGTCTGTGCTATTAAAGTAGTAATCATTTGAAATGTACCTATCGGCACATTCTCTGTCCTTCACAGATAAGCAAGGACTAAGTTCAAGTTTTTTACCACAAGAAGTACACTTGCGGCACCTGATATTTGTTCCCTTGTTTGAGTAGAAATTCTGCTGACAGCTTTGACAGCTTATATCTGTCCCCATGGGATGCGTTGAACCAGGTTCCACTGTTGGCTCCTGCCCATCAAGGCATTCAGGAAAAGGCCAGCATTTATAGTAAGTGGGGTTTTGCTTGTCATATAGCTCAATTTCATCTTTTTTTTCACATCTATTGCCATATCCCTGCACTACTAAAACAGTCTGCAATAAAGAACATTTTAGTGTAAAAAGTTCATTGCTTTTTAGTTCTTAACTCAGATTATAACAAGGTACTGTTAATAATGGCAAAATGTTGTATCAGACTAGTGATTCCCTTTTCCTGGTCATTTTTGCCATGTATCAGTCTTCAAATCGTATTTTTTTTTAACAGCAGTAATCATAAACTGCTTTAATTCCCATACTCACAACAATGATCCAGCTCCTGAGCAAACCTTACACCCTTAACTGAAATCTTTAGCTATATGAACCACACCCAGGTTTAAATGATAGGTACACAATTTTGAAATGGGGTAAAAAGTTTGTAAGAGCCATAATTTTTCCAAAGCAACAATAGCCCTCAACCCCAACAATTCTTAAAAATTTTTTTAGAAATAACAAGTATAAGTACATATATTTACAATTGTACTACAAGCATCTAATTAATTAAGAAATGAGTGAAAGTTGATGCAGCCTTTGACCATAAAATGGGTGACAAGTAATGAATATAGCTTCTCAAGATTATACTCTTAATTTCAGAATGTTGTTCAAAATAAAATTACTTAATATAAATCAATCCACCTTTCATCATTCATACATGAATTCTTAGGGGAATAACTTAACTAGCCCCAGGTCTCCATGTCGCACCTGGCTAAGAGTTGACTGACATTTGGTGGACATATGATCAGATTGTTTTGTCCGTTTGATTATTGAAGTTGTTTCTTTAATGACGCCCTCATGAGATAATTTTTTAGGAAAAACATTTCTACAGATGAGCCAATTCTTTGAAAAGCACGTCATGGTTAAACGTGAAATAGTAAATAAGAACGGCGAATTATATTTTCAAGTTCACAAAATATTCATCTACATCAGCTTCATTCCGATCGTTCTTTAATAATTACACGATGCCTTTTTACAACGCAACCCTCCAATCAATAAATCACGTATCCCCCAATGACTGAATTCACAGGCAGTAAATTAGGTTTAATCCAACAGGTTTCATACGAGATGACTTCTAAAAGCGGTTAAGCGATAGTAATAAGACATGATAGCATTCTGAATGAATGAGTCTCGGAGAGAACGTGACCAAACATGACCATGACTTCAAAATATTAATGAAGACTTGAGAGAATAAAATTTTAAGCTCGCCATGTGATGTCTTTCGTGATCACGGTTGATGAAAATAACAACCAGGAATTTTAAAACTTCGTCGATTAATGTGAAGTATTCAAAAAGAAAGGGTACAACTCACGGCAGTGATCAGAAGTCCCACGATAATTTTTTCTTCAACTTCGGCAAAGTCTTTCATCCTGAGGTGTCGAAGTTGTGTGCACCTTCCACGCTGCTTCCAAATTAAGGAGGAATGTTTCTGTTTGAAGGTATTGAAGAGGCTCTAAACGTCCAGAAGGTGTGTTGAAAAGAAATGCAAATTTTCAATGGCCGAATCAACCTGTATAAGTCAATGACACGCTGAAAATGCTGACTGAGCTAAACATGTACGGTATGCTAAGTCACAGGATCATGCTATATTATTTGGGTAGGTATGTCATGTATGGGCCATTATTTTGTCCTCAAAACATATTATGTCCTATACTTTACATACAGTAACGTCTTAACTTTACATACAATACCTTACACACACATACAGGGCTAAACAAGGCTAGATACAGCAATACACAGCTCTCCAGGGCTATACAAGGCTAAACGCAGCTATACAGAGGTATACGCAGCTGTACAGAGCTATGCACAGCTATACAAGGCTATACACAGCTATACACGGCTATACACAGCTATACACAGCTATATATCGCTATACACAGCTATACACAGCTATACACGGCCATACACAGCTATACAGGGCTATACACAGCTGTACAGGGCAATAGGTATTGAATATAGGTGTTGAAGTTGATGTTATTTCCCTTTGACCAGTCATTCACGTTTGCTAGAGTGGTCTGCAAAGACAGGCAATCGCTGACGGAGCTGACGTTTTTATGCAGCTTGGTGTCATCAGCGTATAACGCTGCCCTCATCCCGCCTACAGTTTCACCCGGGAGACTGTTAATAAAGATCGTCCAAAACTACCCTTTGAGCTCGACCCTTTCGCAAAATCCAGGTAAATCACATTAGTCTGGATGTTCTTATCCTACTAAGTAGTGGATAACATTTTTCGTTTAGCTCTGCAGGTTTTCCACGATCGCTTGAGCACTGAAGTGGTATCTACGGCCTATCTCGGAGTAAGAATTTAAAAGAAAATTAAGAAAATCCCTTTTTCAGCATTTTTATACTTATTAGGTGACAAACTGATCCTTAATTTCATTTTTGATGCGCATAATCCTTCGCCTCTCAGGAACAAATAAATCTGATGCAAATTGAATCGTTACAGCAATTGAAAGACGATTTCGATCACAAACGTTCAATAGAATAGCAACGGGAACTCAAAATTTCTTCCATCCCGGCATTTTTACACATCTCTGTATAGCCGTGTATAGATCTGTTAAGCAGTGTATGACTCTGTATAGCTGTGCATAGCTCTGTATAGCCCTGTATAGCTATGTATAGCCCTGTATAGGAATGCATAGCTCTGTTTATCTGTGTAT